CTTTGAGGTCCGGATTATAGATCATTCCGGATAATGGACGTCCGGATTATGGACTTTATACTGTATATTGTATACAGTGTGTCTCAAAAAAATTAAAACACACTTTAATTTTTAATTGATAATATAAATTGTAAGAGTGATCAAAATAAGGTATGATTTAAGATTATGCTTATGGAACTGTCTTACAATAATTTTTCAAAGAGTTACAAGAAATAAAAATTTAAAAAATGCAATGCAGTTAGTTCAGAAATGCAGTTTCACAAATAAGATCCCATGTGAAAAAGCTGAGCTCTCAATTCTCTCGATAACTACTGAAGAGATTTCAATAATTTTTTTAAATAATTTTGGCAAAAGTTCAATAGAAGTTTTGTTTAAAAAATTAAATTGATACCTCAGGAAAAAAAATAAAAATAAAAATTATGAAATTAAAAAATAAGAAAAACAAAGTATACTTTTCTTCTTTACTACTTCTTTAGTACTTTAAGACTTCTTACGACCTGCTACAACAGGTTGACTGTTATGGCATTTTAAATTACAAAAATGATCAGCTGATTTGCACAAGCACATCTTCGTAGTACACTTCTTTGAATAGTTGCACTTTTCTGAGTTCTTGTCCTCAAACTAAAAAACGTTTTTTAACTATTTCACGGACACTTATTTCCTCTGTACCAATTTCTTCGATGTTTAAAAAATTTTCATTGCAAAAGATAAAATGTTTTTTTGTGTACAACGATTTGAATTTACCAAACTTATTACCAAGCACGTAAAACTCGTCATCTTTAATATCTGTAATAAAGGCTATGACTGATTTCGGATATCAATATCAGGTACTTTAACATTTTGTCCGAGAGTAGGTTTGAGAAAGTTTTTAGTAGACGTAATCTTCATCTTCGTTGTCTGCTTTTTAAGTCCTTCCTTAGCTGTCTCTCAAAACACTTTCACATTCTGAACTTCGCTGATAATCACATCATCACGATTTCTCATTCATCATGTCGATGGCCGTGCCAGGCGAACAGTTGTTCCCCCCTCTCTCTACAGCCGGTCATATACAGGCTGGTGGCGGCGGTATTATGCTTTGGAGGATGTTCTCATGGGCGGCTCTGGGATATTTAGTTGTGGTAGAGCAGATCATGAAAGCTGCGGTCTATCCGAACATAACTGTGGATGAGTTGCGCCCTTACATGGCGTCTGTCTTCCTAACTGGAAATGGAATCTTCCAACAGGGCAACGCCCCATGTCACAAGGCTCGAACTGTGTTGGAGTGGTTTCGAAGAGCATAAGGATGAATTCCGGTTAACGTCCTTACCGTTAATATCCAGTTAACGTCACAATTCGCCGGATCTTAACCCGATAGAGCACATTTGGGATGTCATGGAGCGGCAGCTCAGAGTTCAAACACCACTATGTCAGAATATATAGACTTTAACCTGTACCAAATGTTTAATATGGTGTGATGTGACCGCTGCTTAAACATTTGGTACAGCCTGTCTCCAGTCATCTACCAAGAACTTGTGGCAAGCATACCAAGCCAAGGTGCAGCTGCTTTGCAGACCAAAGATCGCGCAATGCCTTATTGATTAGGTGGTCGTAATGTTTTGGCTCTTCAATTTAAATACTTATTTTATTTTTTTTTTTTTTTCATATATGTTACCGGCAAAAGTAAGAAACGCCGTCATTCTACAGAATGCCTAGGCATTGCATATAATGCCGGACGATTTTAGGCAAAGTTTGAAATATGAGAATTATTACATACTTTCCTTAAGCATAGCATATAACACCTGGGGATTCTATAACATTTTATAGAATCCCCAGGTCTTATATACAATTGCTGTTTAGGCAACTCATGAAAAAAGGTTATGATAAGGCTATTATTTAAAGACGTTCATTCATTAAAAAATGCAAATGTTATTTTGAAAAAGTAATGAAAGCGTGCCATTACAAATATTAAATTTGTGCAATAACTGACTGGTGAAATAAACTGTTATTCGAAATATGTAAAAAAAGGATAGTGAGATGATCTTGATGTAACATAATAAATTTATATTTTCTATCTGGCTGAGACTGGGAATCAGTAAGATCTACCTTACAACGGAAACATTCATAAGTTACTAAACAATGCCCTTTTCAATACCTTTTTGTTTTTTCTGGAAGGGTTCATAAAAGTGGTCAGTTCAATATCATTACGTGTAACGTTTTTGCATTTGGTTGAAAGTTCTTTCAACATTCTGTCCTATACTCCGTGTTCAGTACTCAAACGAGTTTTCATGAAGTACGGGAAATAACTCAGCGTCTGTGACGTAATACTGTGTAGTACTGACGCCTTTTTAACAGTACAAATGAATGTACTTTATCGCAAACATCACATCCTAGCGATTCAGCAGCCAGTAGTCCCGTGGTTCCATCTTAGTAGTCATTTTGGCGTTTTTTATATCTTTTATGAACGTTTGGTAAGTAATTCAGAAGTCAAACAACAAAAATCAGCGTTATATTTACAAAATGTTCACAGGACTAGTTTCGATGGTTTTACCGAACCACCATCTTCAGCTGCAAAACCGCAAATGAACAAGATAGGAAATAATGATTAGATAAGATAAGAAAGCCTGGACAAGAATAAGCAAGTGGCGCCATCTGTTGGCGAAACCAGAACTAAAACATAATTTCTCTAAAAGCCGAAGGCAAATTTGGATTGGAATTAGGATCGTTAACTAGAACAGAAAGATTTTTATGAATGTGAAATGCCTCTAGAAAATCCAGTTCTCCAATGGAAGATGTTTTTTGAATAATTTTAGCAGCAGAAAAATTGAAAGTGTTATTTTCGGACCAACAATTGTTGGTCCGAAAATCAACAATTGTTGGTCCGAAAATCACACTTTCAATTTTGTAAATATAACGCTGATTTTTGTTGTTTGACTTCTGAAGTAGTATTTGTTTGGTAAGTAGTTTGGTTTTTCGAAACAAATCGAAAATGTATTTCATACTTTGTCGGCTTGTCATTTGGCATTTTATAGAATGCCTAGGAAATGTATGAAATATGATTCAAACAATCTCGGCTAGTTTTAGGCATTATATACAATGTCTAGGCATTCTATAGAATGCCGGATTTCAAAGTTTGCCAGTAACATATACATCAAAATAGTAAAACAATGAAAAGTATGGTTTTCAACAAGCAAAAATTTTTTTATTCCCCCCCCCCCCCCCGCCTTACAAGGAAGAAAAAGGAACTAAGATGCAGAAATTGAAATGAACGAGCACAGAAAAGTACAGTTTCATAGATTCAATAATTAGGTGAAATTCAGTCAGAAAAAAAAAAAAAAAAAAAAAAAAAAAATTACAACATGATAAAGCGTTACAAGGAATTTAGAAATATATCAATAATATATCAATAATAAATATGAATCATTTAACAATTAAATTTATTACCAATAAAAAGAATGTATAAATTTCTCTTGTGTTTGTATCCTATTCAAGATGGCAAAAATAATTTATTCCAGTCAGACATTAAGTTTTATTCTTTCTCATAAGCAAGACGCTTACATGTTAAAGCGGCATTCTTGTCTAGTTTAGATGCGGAAATGAGTACATTGTGCCGTGAACTGTGCATTTGAAGCAAGGAGCAAATAATACAGTTGAAGACAGAAGAGAAAGATTTGTCGTAAGTCGTTTTGACTACTTCTGATCCTCCCACAAAAAGATGGCCCACTTTTCTGTAACATACCCTGCATTTGACCTTTTGACCCTTCCTGACCCAGGTCTAAAATTTTTCTTTAAATGATAGTATATTTTATTAATTTTCGCAATGAAGTACGAGGAAAACAAGAACACTGTGTACATAATCAGTAACGCGATCTAATATAATTCAGTAAAATATTATTTAAAAGTATTATCTGATTCAACTGTACATCAATAGATTTTCTCTTAGATTTAGAAGTTCTGGAAATGAGTTTTTCATATAGAAAATAACTCTATTGAAATATTTAATCGTAACAATCTAAAATTGAAATCGTAAAGAAAAATCAATTTTTTCTTCCATAAATCTCCTAGGAAATATAAACAGAAAAAGACTTCGTCTCTTAGATCTATAATGCTAATGAAATTCAGTAGGATTTTTGTCTATGCACAGATATTTTTCCAATTTATGAAACACAGTTTATAAATTGCTAATTTATAAGGATAATAAACTCTAATATGATTGAATAAAACAACAAACATTATAATAGAGTTCTCAACTTTGTAGCCTTTGAACTAAAATATTTTAAATTGAAAAGATGAAAGCTTTGGTCATGGTGTCTAATGAACAAGAAAGCGTTCTTGTAGTGTTTTGCAAAATTGGTAACAAATGAGTTAAATATTAAATTTGTGCCATAACTGACTGGTGAAAAATACGTGTTCTTCCCATCTCCAAATACACTATTCAACTACACCAGTACCTGCACAAAGCTTTTGAATAAAATTTTAAAAAGGGAAATACACAACCCATTAAGCTTTCGTAAGTTTTTAACACTCTGATGCAGCTTGAAAAATGGCTTGACATGGAAGTGGCTTAATGCACTAAAATGGAAGTGGCTTAATACACTAAAATGGAAGTGGCTTAATACACTAAAATGGAAGCGGCTTAATACACTAAAATGGAAGTGGCTTAATACACTAAAATGGAAGTGGCTTAATACACTTCCATTTGAAAAGAATTGATATATCAGAAACTAAGTAATGGCACTTAACTGCTCTAACGTTAGTGGCAATAAAATCAGACCAGTTTAACACAGAAACGTTTAACCTACAGATTGTAAACAGTACTCAACTTAAAATGACACATGGCAAAATATCAAAATGGCTTGTGATCTAATCATTTTAATTCTGAATGTAAGGACGGGGGGGGAAGAAGGTATTTACACTTTTCTTCATTGATACCTGTTACATTCAATCAGTTTCTTCTGGCAAAGAGTAGAAGAGGGTAGGATTAAATCGCATCAATATACGCATGCGGGGTTGATACTACTTACTTTTACGGGTTTCGACATTCCTTCTTGTCTTCGTTCTCCTCTGCTCTCCCATTCTCCTACCTTCAACATGGGGTGGCCGCTGGAAAGCACTTCTCCTCGTAGAGCAAGAGCTGCTGTTCTCCTCAGAGATCCCGACATTCGGTCTTGCGTAGGTCTCGTATCCAAAGTACGTGTATTTGATGAGAGGCGGGTCCTCTTTGGTTTCGGGCACTAGAGGTCGCCAGCCAGCTCTTGAGGTTGCGGAGGAAGAAGAGGACTCGCTGCTCAGGTCGATGGTCTCCGCCAACACTTCTGTGGGAGGTGGGAGATTTGGCTCTTCCAGACTTTGGGGTTCCGTCATGGTGGACGTGTCTCGGTAACGGGGATCTGGAGGTGGAGCTCTTTCGGATTCGTCTAGAAAAAAGCAAGGGCAAAACGTGAAGATTATTTATCGTTCACGGTCAATGTGGAGGTTGTAATGGACATCGTAAATGGATTAGTAAAGGAAATATATATCTCTGTAAACTAGAACAAAGTAGGAGAAATAGGTAGGTAGGAAAGATATTAAGCGTCCAATATTTTAAGCTTTGTGTCTCCCTCTAACAAAGGACATTCACTCCTTTGACTGTTTGGTAATCTTCTGTTTTTGGTACCGGATTCAGAAATGTATATGCTATGTACGCATATATGTATGAAAGTATGTGTTCATGTGTGCATGTATATATGTACGTACGTATGTAAGTGTGTGTGTGTACATACACATATGAGCGCATGCATACAAACACATGTGCATACATACATACATACATTTCTGAATCTGGCTCCGATAACAGAAGAGTACTAATTTTTGGGGGGTTGGGTTTGTTTCTAAATAAATTAAGCATTTAGCATGTATAGACAAAATACAAAACTAGATTTATTTAGCTTTTCTTTACACAGCATGGAATAAAATATCCATCTAAAATTTTGATAGATGTCTAACTTTGCCAAAAGTTTCGCAATGATGGTGATGATTTTCTTGGAAATAAAATTTTTCTCATTAGGTCTTAGGCTGAATTTTAGTAATTATAAAACATACATTAACACCATCAAATTATATGATACATATTTTAATAAAGTTAATAACATAAAATAGCCTTATTTCAGCGAATAAGAAAAAGGGCATGTACACCACAATGTTAAATTTCACTTTCGTATAATCAGTTTTGGTTTCAGTTGAACTTTCAAGTTCTTCGCCCTTACTTACGCCATATAATACAAATTAAGTTAGTGCAAAAGAAGAAGAACGCTCTAGGTATAGTTGCTGATTGACTGGCATTTGTTTTTACCATTTTCGAAGGTACTTACTGGGATTATTTGTTCGTTTGTCAAATTAGTTACGATAACAACGCGAGGTCTTATCTGCTTAAGGATAGAGATGCCATCGTGGAGAATTTTCAAAAGAAAATGGCTCGTATTTACGTTACATATGTGGTAAATGTGGTAAAAGACGAAAACTTCCATATTCATTAGGAATTTAAGGAGTTTTCAAAAATCTGTTCTAGCCGTAGACGACGCATACCGAATCAACAGATATTAATTCAACTGTAAGTAGAACTGCAGTTTATTGACAGTAATAGCAATACCAATAGTTTATAGTCGCGCAAACGTAAAATATGCAATAACTTACGTTTGCGCGACTATAAACTATTAGGTTTTCGCTAGCTGATAAATACATGAAATTCATAATAACAAACAGTAACTATTTACATGCTTGACAACTTCTTTAATTTAGAGGCTTAATTTTTATTTACTTATTTATTTATTTTATTTTTAATTCTTAACTTTATTAGCGAAAATATGTTAAAAAAAGATTTGCGAATAAACTGGCAAGCTTTAGTTGAGACTACTTACAATTTCACTTAAGGAACTTTATTTTCTGTACTAAGGTCACGAATCCGAAATTAATGGCACTAATCCGTATACGATTGAAGATTTTACGTTGAAATATCATTCTTTTGATCTTAAAAGGTTTCACTTTTCTTCTGGCAATGAAAATACCAACCACGCAACTCTTCTCTTCCTCCTTGAACTTTCACTTTTCACTCACGTAGCCATGATGAATTATAAAACTAAAACAAACGATAATCTTTGCCATAGGTTGTAAATTATCAACATTTAGAGCTGTTGAGAAGAATTTGTATGATCAGGAGCAAGCGTTGCAATCGCTATCTTCCGCATAATAAATCAATTGAAGCTCAAGGATGTGCAAAGCGTTATCAGAAAACAGACGATTAATGTGCGTAATAAATGAATATTTCTAATAAGAACTGCTACTTTTTACGTGGAACCTGTACTATTTGATGGGTCGATAATGTTCTTTGGTTTAAAATTTAGGGATCTTGAGAGCTGATGCTATTATTTTGATGGTGCAATGTTTGGAATAACATACCATTCCTCAAAGTAAATATATGGTAACGCGGAGAAGAAATAAGTTTGGGAGCAAGGAATTTTGAAAAATTCACCTAGTGTTTCCATGAAGTCGAATGCGAGATCTTTGAAAATTAACTCACATTATATCACGAGAACATCTGGGAGGTAAAGTTTGGTTTGATTTATTTGACAATGGCTAAGGACGTGAGGGCTGTCTGCCTAAGAGAAGGGATTCCTTCGGGAAGGACTTTCTAAGGGTTTGGTTTGGTTTATTTAGCTATGTCAAAGCAATCAAGGGCTTTCTGCCTAAAGCGGAAGGATGTCTTCGTGGAGAACTTCTTAAAGTTGGCTCCTACACACGTCACACACGGGAAAAACTACGAAAACGCTTATGCAGCCAACCGTTTCACCGGCATTCGAATCCCGGACCGAACTACAAGTGTTAAGCGACTTTACCGTTTGGCCGGTGGTGGGTTAACATATGGTAGGAATGTCGTAGCTACCTACAGTAGGAATGAAAGCTTAAAACTGAATTTTACAGTTTTCAAGGGAAGCATTTTTAAAAATATTACGTCGAGCGAGAATCCTGAACCAATGTCACTTAATTATAATTTTCACTTTAAAAAAAAGATCTGTCGAAGATGTTTGCGCACAGAAAAAAATTAAAGAAAGCTAGATTTTAATAAAAACACGACGTAAATTAACACATAACCTTATTTTTGATATAAAATGTAAATTAGTTTTGTTTTTTTAATTAAAAAACAGAGTTGTTTTGCAGGCGAAAGCTTAATAATATTGATAGGAAAAAATATTAAATTTTTTGTTTTCTTTCTTTTTTTTCCGATAGTACATTATATTTGAGTTGCTCGAGAGCAGTAAATCTTGAAAGTCTAGAGAGAAAATCGTGATTGTTATAAATGTGATAAGAAATACTTGAAAAAGTTTAAACTTAACTGGCATTCATTTGCAACAGCATTCATCTGCATAAAAAAGTTAAAATCTTCCCGAAAGTGTTGGGCTAAAATATTTGGATTATTCACAAAGCACTCGAAAACTGTTTGCTCAAGGGAAAAGATCTCTTTGTTCAAGACTTTCTGAATGAGAATGGCTCACATTTACGTTACAGAGAGTGAAAACCGTGAACTTTCTCATACCTTCTCAGCCGACCTCTCATTAGTTGGGATTTTAACATAAGTTGAACTACCAGTGTTCAGTAGCTTCACCGCTCGGCTGCTGGTGGGTTCTTCAGTAAAATTTTCTCAAAATAAAAATCTTTCTAAATTTTGAAAAATTCCATTCTAGCAAGTTTTCAAACCTTCTTTAAAAGGAAGACAAAGTTATTAGGGCTACAAATAATGATAAAACATTCACAACCGCATTTTAAGTACTTGTGGTGTTCAGGATATGTGCCATCATGGAAGCCGTTCAAGAGCTAAAACAAACTACCACTTTTAAACTCGTTGTTTGTTGATGAAGAAAAATGTTCGTCTCTATACATCACGAAACCTATGCCCGCGGGCACCGTGGCGCCCGCCGATAGTTTGACGTTATGCCCCCCGCTGTACGATCATAATAAAAATGTGGTGCCCACCAGCGGCCGAGCGGTAAAGTCGCTGAATACTGGTAGTTCGGTCCGACGTTCAAATCCGAACGGGACGACACCAATAAAAATATTTTAGTTTTCAATAAAATTCTTTGTGAAATTTTTTTTTCTTTTTAATGAAATAGAAATTGTGTCCAACGCAGATACCAGCACAAAGCAAAATGCAATCGATTTCTTTTTTATGTGCATGTATTATTAACTCTATCCAACTATAAATTCACCTTGAAAAATCAATGGTGGCAGCCGTCCAAAAGATATTCTAGAATGTGCTCTTAAGCACAAAAAAGTTGGGAACCCCTGTTATACATGGTGTTTGAGAAAGACGCTAGAGTTTTCATACTGAACCTAAACACTTTTTTTTTTCTAATTATTAAATTTCTTAATAACTAAAGGGTAGTAGTTCGCGTCAACACTTAATTGGTTTTACAATAGGCAGGGGCCATTCTTAATTTAACTTTTCACACAGTTTCTCTAAATTGAAAGGTTGGTTTGTTTGGCTTATTTGATTATAGCAAATCACACTAGGGATATCTGCGTAAGGGGAGAAATATCTCCGTGAAGGATTTTCCAAGGGAAACTGGCTCTAAATTGAAATTTTAAATAGTAAAATACTTGTTATTCTCTAAAACGAAAAGTAAAATTTTTCGTAACTTTACTTGAAAGATTCTCGAAAAATATTCAACAGTGATGATCGTTTTTCGCATGCTTATTTGCTGATACTCTTCAGAACAAATTTAGGGGAAGATTACAAAACAAAAGCTGCTTGTCTTGGCGAAGTTTCGTTTTGAGAGATACAACATCCGTCATTACACTTGTAGCTGGCCTCTTGAAAATGTTAAACATAGCTCTTCTTTGAATTTTTCATATTGCTCTTTAAGCTCATTAAAGTATTACGAATATTTCTAAATATTTGAAATTTGGCTTTATAAGTATCGTATTAAAGGTTAGGTTTTATTTCTGCAGAAACCAGCTATCTACACTGCAAGGTATTTTCTCCTTGCTTTCTGCATTCCTAAACCTAATATATCTGCAGTGACTCCCGAACTAAAAGGTGATGGATGATGATTCTTAACCATCAGGATTTGGGTCCTCTAATCCCCAGTCGCCCTTTAAAAGGGGGAGTATGTAAGGTATTTTCTTCCTGCTTTCTGTATGCCTTTGTGATGTAACGGTAGCACACTCGGCGCGTATTCGAGAGGTCCAGGTTCGAGCCTCAGCGAGAACATTGCACATTTTTCCTGTCTTCCTGCTTCAAAATAACCTAATGACTCCACAACATAATTAAAACTCTTTTTGTAAATTTTTGCACATTTAAGAAATTCCGTAATTAAAAAATGCATATGTATGATCAGTATTAAAGGAATTCAAAGTCCTAAAGGCATTTTTCGAGTACCGTGCG